TTCAGTAAGCGTATACATAGCGTGCCGATTTTCATATTTCGTATGTATTAAATAAGTGCTTTTATTTAATAAAGCGAAAATCGAACCGAGCTGAGAGTAATCCTCGTTCGCGCTCATACTTTTTAATCTTCCATTGAAATTGTGTTAAGTATCCAGAAGCCGCACAAAATTTCCGCATCACAACGGAATCGAATGCGCCACGAATTTCGCAGAATTTGAACCGAATTAAATCAAAATCTTCAATGCCATTAGTTATTTATCTTACAGAGCGATGCAGAATGTGTATTAATTTACCCACTCTCCCACTTTCGAAGGCTGTTTTCTTTTACCAAATAAATGGGGAATGTTACGCACCAAATCAAGATAACATCTTTATTCACAAATATTGAGGGGCAGATGTTTTGTTTAAAAGCCCGGACATTGCAGATTTTTATCAGCTCAAGGGTGAACTTAAGGAATAGGCCTTAAAATAAAAGTTAAACGCTGAGAGACGCGTCAAGGACCCAGAAGAGAGTTGTTAAGGGCGGAATGTAAGTAGGTATACTTATAACTACAGAATATTGTATCGAACTGAGGACGTTGCCTAAAATATTGATAAACAAAAGATTTTTGACGAAATAAACCCAATTCCTAACAAAGAAGTTGATACAAAATGTAATAGATTAATTTTGTGAGCATCGATAAAGAGTTTGTGAATATTTATTTATGTAGATCGATACAGAGTAGTATGTTCTTTGATCTAGAATCTAGAATATATAGGCTATAAAGTTAGTAATAACAATATATTGGTCCATTCCAGTTGCAGATGGGGTAGGTTGATACTGTGCACATTCCATTGTTGGATGCGCAACAATGCAGATAGGGAGAGATAGCTGGAATAATATCGTTAAATGTGGTTGGCCAGAGATAATGTGGACATACATAGTAACAACTATATTGTTTTTAATTCCAAAAACAGTGGATTTTGTTTTATATAGTCAAATATATGAAACGCAAAGTTTACTGACTGGGAATCGAGTCAGACCCTAGATACACTGCGTTTGAAGTTGTTTTGGGTCGCTGGTTCTGCCAACGTTGTTAATTTTATTAAAGGGCAGATAGAAAATCCTTTTCGTCGGTTCTGTCATAGCCGCTCTGAGTTTTTTTCGTTCATACATCAAAAGCGATTGCTGTTTACTCGCCTTGTTGGTATAGGCAAAGCAGAACTGCTTTGCATACTATCCTGTCCTAGGTATATTTAACACCTAAATTGCGTTGTTGTGTTTACTTTGCCCCCTGTACTACAAAATGCAACTATGTATAATACAATATAAAATAGAAAAATAACTTTTAAAGAATTCAAACCGTGTGTTCAGAATTCAAATTGTGTATTTGTCTGTTTTTTTTGAGATTAACGGTCATTCATTATCGTCATCATCATCATCAGCCTATAAGTGCTAACTGCTGAGCAAAGGCCTCTTCTCGCTCGGAGAAGCTCGTATTGAGCATTAATGACCACGCTTGCTCAATGCGGTCATTGATCTGTAGATATGTTACTATCGATAGAAAATGTGTTCAATTTTTTTTTTACCGATTACCTTATGGTAAGCAATCAACGCCGCCCATGGACACCCGCAACGGAGGAGTTACGAGTGCGTTGCCGACCTTTTAGGGATTAGGGATTTGGAGATTTAGGGATTGGGAAAGGGTATGGGAAGGGGAAGGATTGGGCATCCGGTAACCTTACTCACACGGCGAAACACAACGTTGTTTCACGCCGGTTTTCTGTGAGGCCGTGGTATCACTCCGGTCGAGCCGACCCATTCGTGCCGTGCATGGCTCTCCCACACTTAAAAATAGCAAGATAGAGGCAACATTTTGCAGTATTCAGTACATCTCGATCTGTAAATTATTAATACGTACTTGTTTGTACGTATTTATTCCTGTGTATTGTGAGATACAAAAGTTCGAGAGTCCTCAAGGCAAGGAAGTCTTATACGGGTTTTCCTTTGTCTTGAACTCTCACGGGAAAGAGGGTGATTTGTCGCCCTATCTTGATTTCATCTTGTTGGGGATCAATATTTTTGTCGTGGACGACAATGGATAAATCTGGTTCTTACAATCCAGTTTGTGATAATGTGTACAACTATATAATATATACTAACTTTTAAACTTTCGCGTTTCATCTTAAGAACATTATATTTATATTTACGCGGGTGGGGATGAAGATTCATCACCCGAATGCAGGGAGCTGTGACATCGCGTCTTCAGTCTGCTTGTGACCACGACCTGTGCAACCGGGTCGAAACGTCAAGCCTACCAAGGTATTCAAATTATAATTTTCCGCGTTAATACCCGCGTAAATATAAATATAATGTATATAATATATAATAACCGGCGGATATTTTAAGATATTTACTTAATAAAAACGCTTTTTTATCTAGAATAAGTCAAACCAAAATAACAATATTTAAGATTTTATGTCTGTCGGTCAGTATGTTTTTACCCGCATCGCCTAAATATCACTATGTAAGATCGTACGCAGTTTTCATTGGTGTATTATCAGGAGTGTAATTTAAAATAAATATTTATTACAGACCGGAATTTTTTATTCTATTCCAATGGGTATTTACACCATGATATATTTTACTACTTTTTATAGATATTTAGACAATAATTTTGTGACACGGACATATTTAATTAGTGATTGTTTTAGTTCGATTAGTTCTTTAATAAAATATTTGTGGCAGAATAAAGGAGAACTTGGTTTCCAGTTTAAGTTGACTACCTGATCTATTTGAGCAATTATATTACATGACGTTCAGCTTTTCTTTGCAAGGTTATTTAATAATTATTTTATTTACTGCTTTGGACAGTGTTAATCATATAATTATGATCCCCTTTGTGGAAGAGGTGGGGAGGGAGAGATGTAGTACTTGATACAAACCACACCGTACCGGTACCTCAGCTGGAGTTGCGGAGCAAGCGCATTAAGTCGCCGAAAAAGGGACAGGGGGGGTTTTTAGTCAGTAAGAATCTGACACTCCCTCCCACCCCACCCTGGGTGGGAGAAGTCTTTCGATGATTTTCGTAGAGCCTGAGATAGCACAGTTTGTTTGACTATGATCATATTTGACAACATCATGCATAAAATATTGGCCAGGCTTTTGTTTTATTATTCTGATTACTTTACAAATTTAAATAAAGTACAAAAGCTTTTGTTACAATTACGTAATTTAAAGAAGAAAATTTTAAATAAAAACTAGCTATAGTTTTGTTTGAGGTTTTTTTTTTGTAGCAGCCTTATATACTCGTATACTTTTTTAAAACGTCATGTAGATTCATTTTAGTTATTTGGCTATAATTTCCACTTGTTATTTCAGTTGTGACTTAAATAAATGCTGATCAATATTAGTATGTAGTTGTTAACAGTTTACATAGCAATAAAAATAAAGATACTTGCCTCAAAGCTCTACTTGTACAAAGTCGCAGGAATAAGCAAGTTTATTAATATTACACGTAATTGATGGCATTATACGGCGTATCGCGGCGTATATTTATCAGATACCTACGATAGAATGATTAAGTTAATTAAGTAGCGTTATGCCATTAATTTATTCGCTACGGCTTTTGATTATATTTCTACACGTGGCGCGAGGCTCTGGTAATGATGTGGCTTCTATACAGAACGGTACACAAAATAAATTATCAATTTTGTTTGTGACGCGTTGGAGTTTAAGCCTTGAGGTAAATTAATTAACAGTTACACAGATTACGTTAAAACAATAGATACGAATTTCTTAGTAAAGGCATTGTGTTATAATATTCTCTTCTATAGATAGAACTTATTAGTTGGTTGTCCTGAAGATGGTAACATTATTTTGCAGTCAATTTCGAGGAATTATTTCAACTGAGAAGCTACGCCGCTTTTGAATCGCTAGCAGCTAGTTGTTGTCTCTGCTGCTGAGCAAGCTTTCACAAGGAGAAGGAATGAATGATAATAACCAGGGATTCTCAAATATTGTTCCGATTCCCCATACTTGAGAAGCTGGCATAACCTTCGGGCCACCAAGGCTGACGACTTTATAAATATACAACAATAAATCACGTGTAGCACATTGTTAGCAAACTCTATCAGTATATACAGTATCAATCATCATGCTTAGAAGCGTTTACGTTACAATTCATATTGCTATTTACATGCGATTGTTATCTTCAATATCTGAATATTTTATTTCCATCAACAGATTTACGGAAGTTCAGGAGTTGATCAGTTCAGATGTGTAAATCTTAAATATATGTCTAATGTATTTAGTTACATGTATTATAAAATTTTATAAATTATCTTTTCTTTCGGTTAATGACTTCAGGCATAATTTGAAATCTTTATTTTTTTGACTGATCACCTACATATTCTTTGTCATAATGAGGGTATTAATCCATCATTGCTCTAAATTTCACCTAATTCTATTCGATATTTTTAAAGACTTATAGGCCTCTGGATTTACAGACACAGGTAGTTCCCTTTTTCCATGTTATTTTTGGGATAAAAATTGTGCTAGGTAAGTGTTATCTATCAAACTATCGCTATACCAAAATTCAGTCAAATAGGTTTAATGGTTTAGATGTGAATAAGTGACAGATTATATCACAGTTTTTACCATTTTACTTAATGTACCTATATTTTTTTTTCACAAATCTTATATGCACTAAGAAAATATTTTAGTTATATGATTAAAATATTAAAATTACACAGTTAAGCAACTACATATATCGTTGTGTGGGCGGAGCCGCGGGCACATTTAGGTAGTTGTTAATATTGCGATTGAAATTTGGCAAATCATCTCCGCATCGATATAACATCAATCTTTTACCGAAACATACGTAATAATGTTATCTAGGCCATACTAATCTACACTAATATTATAGAGGTAAAATTTGTAAGTTTGTATGAAGGGGGTAATCTTTGGAACCGCTGCCTGGTCGGATTGCCTGAATTCTTTTACTGATAGATAGCTGCAATGTTCCTTACTGCTATAGGTTACAAAACATCACGCTACGATCAAATGGAGCTGAGCGGCAGGTGAAACCGCGCGAGGGTAGCTAGTACTCAATATAAGTAAAAACACAGTTCAGTTAACTATAAAGAGCTAAGGTTCCTCTATAAGGAAGGTATGGATGGGAGGGGTTTTTCAATAATTTTCACACTGCTGTTTAAAAGGTTCAGCTTTATCCAATGGCGTTGCTGCCCGGTTGTTCTCGTTGTTGTCTTCTATGAAATCCACGGAAGAATGTGAAAAAGAAAGTGCCAGTCACTTCTTTTCATTTGGGTGGGTATGTAAGACCCACATCGATGTAGTCAGCTTTTAATGAACCATGAAGCGCTGCAAGCGAAGATGCGGTAATCCTTAGCGCGGCATGTAGCCGGCCATACCTACAACTAGGGTTACCAACATATAATTTTGATATTACCTACAGTTTTTTTAGTGAAGACTGCAATTTTGATGGCTGGACGACCAGCTGATGGTAAACGTGTTACGACAACGATACTCGCACCGAACCAATCTTTGTGTGATCCATAGATTGTTATTCCGCGTTTTTTTTAATTCTATAAGCTTGTAGTATGTAATTGTGTGGGTCTAATGTGGAATTGTATATAATCATGGGACAATTTAAAATGATAACTTAGCAGTCACGTTTGGACGACGCTAGGCTATAATGAGGTCAACCTCCTTGTAGCCTTTGAAGAAAAGGGTCAGAGAGTGAATCCTTACCGGCGTATGCCCGGGGCATTATGTGTTGAAAGCTTAAGATGTATGCAAGACTTCATAGATGGCGCTCTTTGGTAGGCCTGTCCCCATGGCATAAGTATATGTGTTTTTATAGGATAAGAGGGTAAAGAGTTTGTACATGTTTTATTTATTTATTTTTATAAAAAAGATGTTTTGAGTTTCCTCGGTTAGTTTAGCTCGAAAGGAAAAATCCCTTATAGTAAGAATCATTTTGTTTTCCATCCGTCCTCTTGTCAAGGCCCTTTTTCTTAAGATCGCGTTTGGATATTCAGCTGAAATTTCATCAAATATTCGAGCTGCGAAGGTTCGTGTGAGCTTTATGTGTGAAGAAGCGAACACACAAGAGAATCAGGACCTATTTCCCGTGAACTAAAATTCTTGGTGCAGCGATAAGGCAACTTCGTACAGCAAGCTGCAGTAAAAATTACGTAATATAAGCATTTGCCAATTTTTTGGTATTACAATGAAATTCATATCAAAGACTTAAGATTTAGAAATTGGGTATACTTAATCAAATTAAAATTATGATGTGTCAATGTAATAAAATATTTTTTATGTCAGCTGAACTTGTACGAAGCCAGTTGGCTGGTTTTTACACAATGTACGACTATATTTTATTTGTATGCTTTTTAATAATTACAGAAACTTTGTTGGCAACCCTAGCTACCACCGGGCCGGCACCGGGATGCCGCCGCCGGCTCCCAGGATCCAACGTCAATCGCCCGATTTATTGGCTCTTACAGCGACCCGGAATATCTCGAATAAATTGTAATTTCCTTCTTCGCAAATCCATCGCCTATATAGTTGTATATTCTGTAGTAAATGTCAGATAATAATGTTCGTAAAACAACCGAGTATCGACAACTAGAGATTTAATTTATGTCCCTAACTATTAACAAGATTCGGTTGAGAACGCTATAAAACAATCCGCATACATACCAACATGCATCAATTTCATTGAAAAATATATTGTCTATTAGACTATTTACGACCTATATTTGAACGTTTGCATTGAACAGTTTGTTGAAACTTAGATATGGTTTTATCCGCGTCGAAATTTACGTAGCGGACGTAGCGGAGTGCACCCACACACGGCGACGCGACGCCACCACTCGCTACGCCCAAGCGACATCAACAATCGCAGTACTGCGTGCCGTGCGTAATCATTGCCGATGATTTACTCTTCGAAGAACGATGCACGACGCCATGTTCATGACTCATGAATATTATTATAATAATATCTTTATTGATCCCGATTGAGAGCTGTAATTCTAACGTAATCACGCAGAGTGTGGCCGGTTTGCAGCATCCAGCGCGTTACGTTTACGACCTCAATCATCGATATTTTTACAGCTTCCAGTAATTGGGCAGATAAACGTACTGAGTTGAGTCGTTGAATGGCCAATGAGCAGTACCGCATTGAAAAGAAGCGATTAGGGGAACGACGCGCGACACTGGGATTGCGATGACCCAGGTGCAACCGCAAGAACAAATCGACTAATCGTCATTTTAAAAATATTATTCATTGAAAGATACGATGCGGATGTTCCGTAGCAGAATTGTTGAGACAAAACTTACCGGATATTTAGATCGGGAGTTAGATGTTAGTAGCGACGTCGGCTGCGACAACCAGGCTCGGCTCACTCACCAACACATATCCAAGTATTCCATTGCGGCGCGCAGCAACGTGCGTGCAGACGACGCAGCCCGCGCAGCGTGTGGCTGGCGCATTTCGCTGGCCCGGCTGGCGCAACCACCGCACATGTATTGTGACGTCAACGAGACACATCCTCACCGCAAACCACTTTACGACTATTGACTAGCTGCCGCCTCCGTAAACGCCTGGCTGTGGCACTACTCTACTACACCGATGTTGACGATACGTTCTACTGGCGATACGTACCTTTGGTCTCCGCCTTCCTCTGGGGCCCGGGGGCATTCCTGCCTCGGCCTGAGGACAGGCGTCAGCCCCCATTTCTCGACCAACTCTATGCGTGCAATGGTGGCTGCTCAACGACAATGTGTCATTGGGTCGGAGCTGGAGCGCTGAAGCGGGGACGTGACGGAGAGGCCGGCTGACCCGCGGCGCCTACCGGCCGGTTCGTGGCGCGCGCCGCGGCCGCCACCTTACTCGCGAGCCATGCCCGCACCTCGGCCTTGCGCCTCTCGCCTCGCTCCCGCGCTACGCCCGATCCTGGGTCTCAACGCTCCTCATAATGTGTTCAGAGCGGTGCGCGGGTCCGCGGTCGCATCGCGCCGCTTGCCGACACTGCGGCACGCCCGCTTGCCCGTACTCCTGACCGCCCGACAGCCCGGGGTGCTTCACGCACCACTCCCGACCTGCGCAACTTTACCGCCAAATTTTGACCGTCCCGAGCGCGCGTTCAACCGCGCGAAAAATTATCGCTGTCGATGGACGACTTACGTTAACTACTATTACAATGATTATGTGTGAACGATTCGAAATATTTTGGATATGAGCGTCGTTGGCGACGGTTCCTTACGTAATGTGTATTCTTTACGTGAAGAGACACCTCAGCCGGTGCGGCGAGTCATGTTACGACAAATATCCGCGTGGCGGTCGCAAGGCACGGGCCAACGAGTATCGCCGTGGCACGGCGGCAGAGTACTGGAATGAGCGCGCGTGCGTGCTCCCGGCGCGCCCCGCGCTCCCGGCCCGCGCCCGCGCCCGCGCCCCGCGCCCCGCGCGCCACGCGTATCGACACCGGCCGCCAACCACCGCAGCGGCCGGCGCGGCCCGCGCCTGCCACGCGCGCGTCACGCTGCGCCGCTGCACGCCCGCACCGTCGCACCGCCGCACTGTCACACGCAACCCCCAACACACTACTTCCTAGGAAAACATTCGCTTTCGTTTCGTGCCCTTATTAGTTCTGGCTCGAATTTAATTCACTTTCCAATGTTGTCGACTACACTTTGCGCCAATGTTTCAGGGACGCTATACAGCGGCGCAGCGGAACGATGTAAGATGTTCATTGGTAAAGCTTGAATCGAAGCATGATTTGGACTTGTGATGGTAAAGCTCAAGTAGCAATTATATAAGTAGAATTTACATGAGCTGCGGGTTCCGTGCGTGTTGGTAGATGGCACAGCTCCGCCGGACGACGTGTGTTCGCTGCACGTATCCGCTGCCTCGAGTGGCGGTGCAGCGACGCGGCAGAGCAGACTGGTCGCCGCCGGTTCACTCACTAATCTAGATCAAAGGTTGCTACGGCTCGTAAGTGGAACTTGAGCCAAGTAGCTCGACCTTCGTATGGAGTGAACAACATTTAATCAGATTTTAAAATAGTATTTTTTATAGGTAGGTACCGCCCTAATTTTAACGCCTGCATTTCTTGTAAAACCCAGTGCTCACAGCGCAGCGGATCGAATATGCTAATATTTAGAAAGCTTACCTAAATGATAAAGACGCTTTGTTTGCCAGCGCTATAAGAAATAGTCGAGTATCAACTATTCCACGGGAAGTGAAGGCGGAAATGTAGTAATGTAAAATTCTATGGCAAATTGTATTTTTTACCAACAACGCCAACATGGATGGAGGGTCTACCTAAAAGTTCAGACTTAGTTGCGTCGGATGCAATTTCGGAAACTAATTTAGCAACTTGCTGAATACAGCAACTTGGTTTTGCCGAATAAAGTATAGCCATGAGAGCCAGAGCAGTCAGCAGAGGGAAAGAGAGAGGACTTGAAGTTTAGGAGCACAGACTAGTTTGCCACCATTGCTAAACTTATTACGAGGCGCTCGAACTGACTACTGCGGTGTACTATGACGTTTCTGCATACATTGTCGTTTGAGCATAAAAGTGGTGCGTAGTTTACAATTATACAGGTAATGGTTATGGTGTAATATGTGAAATAGCAATCATGAAAATAGTGTAGGAAGAGGTGGCGGTCGCCACCTGCCGCAGACGTTTCCACCCTGCGGGGCCTAACCCCCACTGCACAACGGTGTCGCAGGTGCGCTCCTCCTGATCTCATTTATTTCCATCACGAATATCCACGATTCCACGACTCTATTATTATATTGACCTCTGCGGAGTTCAAAATATGCGCTTATAGCATTGCGCGTGCGCGATGCACAATACGCGAGAAGAATAGACAAACGAATGCCGCTTCAGTGAACAGGTAGAAGGGATTTCAGTATATTGTTGTTTCAAAGTACGCCAGCATAGTCAAACGATACACGGAATACTTACCACGGAGGAGGAGTTAAAAATATTTGGTAATTTGCAAATGAGCGCGTGAAATGAGGTTGGTTTACTTTCTTTGTTAACGGTGCAAATAGGGCACAGGGACAGCGGACTGGACTAAAGTATGTCAGTGTCACTCGAGATTACGCAGGATCGATCCACTATTCGTGGAAATATTGCATTCCCTTCCAGGAAACGAGACTCGGGGTTGCCCGTTCATTTCATTGAGTAGTTGGTGCGAGTTGTTTACTATAACTGTCTGGCGTTATTTTACATTCATTTTGTTTTTTCTAAAACAGACGCAACGCGACAGCTATTGATTTAGTTACTGAACGGAGCGTTACGGACAGTTTTAGGAGCCGCGTTAGCAAGCAAAAAGTTACGCTATCATAAGTAAAAATTCGCTAAGATTACCTTTAATGTTAGTAGCATACAAAAATATGATATGATCTACCGCATCAGTTCGTGCCACTGTTAAAGTGCTGGTACTGCAGATACTTCAATCAAAATGAAAAAAAGTTCTTTTGGACAGTAACAGTGAGTCGCGGCGGTGGAACTCTTGACATTATTTTTAGATGCTCATGACCTCGTGTGGCCATTAATTCCCTAAGTCGACGACGGAAATAGGAGCAATTGATGTTTACTGAGAGATTTGGTGGAAGTGCGCTGCGATTTTGCAGGTCTTATGTAAGTGTTATGATTTCACCTGTCGATGACGATAATGCTTAATTAACTATGATTATTCGCAATATGCGTATTCCTTAACAGTGCTCGATTTTTTATTATTGCAGCGATAGAAGCTGTACCTTGCGATTAGCAATAAGTGAATTATCTTTTTTTTAATCTTAATCAAATCTACTAAATGTGGCTAATATTAGTGAAGTCAATTTTGCAAAACGATAAGTTCCGTTCACAATTATTCAAATCTTCCCCTTTTTTAAAAAAAACAGGTACATTACCTTAATAGTATTGAATATACACCACCAAAATATATTATTGGTACTTATTAAACTGTAATACTAAAGTTGTAAATAAATATACTGAAAATTCATTTCACATTCTTGTCAGTATCCAACACTGAAATGTCGATTGCAGACTAGCCAACAAATCCGATTGTGCCGATCAAAGGCTCGTTTTATCGGGACAGACTTCGGTATGTCAGCACTTACAATTGGCTACTAAACGCACTAACTGCCAGCTTCAGTTTGTTACATCACACACGTTGCTTTGTAGCTTTCATTACAATTTCATCTTTACTTTTTTATTTTATTTGATAAAAATAAATGTACGATCCTCTTCGATTCCATATGTTATTTTAATTTTTAATTTAATTTTAATTTAACTCTTTATTTCAGGCTACTAAGGCCTTATTGAGTTAGATACAGGGAAAAATTTTTTCGCTATCTCAATATCTAAGGGTAAAGAAATTCAAAATTTATGGCACCTACTCTTAAATATAAAATACTAATATTTATATAATTTGATGATGTTGTCGATCGAACAATTATAATAATAATTACTGTTGTTTGTTCTGAGCAGAACTGTTTTTTGTACCTAATTACCAACATTTCCAGTATTCATCAGAGACCAAGCTTCGTTGTTAATGGTTGAAGATATTTATTTATCTTTAAGCAAGGAAATTTCAATTTTTTAAAAGTACCAAAATGTGTAGTTAAATTTACACTTTGACTATGATGATATGATTTGAACAATTACTATTTTTGGAATACCATTGATCCATCTGCAGGTTTGTAGCTCTATGCGTTCTCTATGTATATCACGGAAGGCGAGTACACTGGCATCATAAAATATGTACTATGTAGTATATATGCATTCCACATAACACATATATATCATTCCTGCGTTCCGGACGCGCATACCGAGAGATATGTATCGCAAGCTACAATTCGCAATATCATACCCATATGATGGCAATAGCAGTCTAAGATTGAATACTGAATATTTGCCTACGATTTGTGCATATTTCACGCATTCACAGGAAGATATTGCATGTAGTTTGTGAAGAATTGTGTGTAATCGATTCAGGGGTGTGATTCTGTAAGACTTCTTTCTAAACTTCGAATTTGAATCTATGAATGAAATACACTAGCGCTACACTTGCGAGTTGAACTAAATTGACAGCATCATTTTGAAAGATAAAATACGAAATGACGTTAAAAGTGGCATTCTAAAATTTAATTTCCCCGTCACTTCGACGCTCACTTCGCACTCGAACACGATTCAAAATCAAACAAATTTTATAGAATCGACGTGCAGTTCGAACTTGAAAATGTCATTAGATATAAGTTGTAATTTTAAACAAGAGGATATTTCGTTAATGCCGTTCTTTCGTCGGATAAGCAACAAAATTTCCTGAAAAAAATTAATGTAAGTGTAGTAATGTAGGGTTGAACATACGAGTAATTGATTTCTGATCCTTAGGTGAAATTTAAGTTATGATAAACAAACTCCAAGAATCCATCTGCGTGAATAACACAATTGACTATGTAGACGAGTATAAGCATCTAGGTCATACAATCTCGCCCATAGACCTTACTTCCAAGGAAATTAATAGGCGCATAGGAAATGCATGGAAACGGTACTGGGAACTAAAAGAGGTCATGGAAACCAAACAAATGAAAATGGCTATTACTCATGAACTTTTTGACACCATGCTTATAAACATTGCTTGTTTTAATGTAACAGCACTTTATAAATTTTGACTAGAGCAGTCATTGACAAACTTAATAAATATGAATTAAAGTAGACGCATAAAAATAAACATAAAGATATTCTTTACGCAATTCTGACTTCCCGAAGCTCAACAATATCCAACTACGCTTCATGGATTATGTAGTCTACTTGACATGGAACGACATGGTACCTGAGGTTGACGTCACAACGTGGATAAATAGAGTACTCTGAGTGCCCAGGCCTCTCTTTGAGGCCTTTTATTGAACGAGGGAAGTGTAAACATTGGCCTTATGGTGACCGAGAAGTGTCGTGAATCTAGCCTTTCATTGACAGTATCTCAGCTATCAAAGCTTTGTGAATGCCTCTCATTGTAAGGCGACGTTCTTGTTTTATCTTCTATACAAGTGGAGATGAAGAGGTTGTTTGTTGGGTTTAACGCTTTATTCTTATAAAGTAACGGTTCAATTTAGGAAAACTTGTCGTCTCACGTATCTATTTGTTGAGGCATCATTAAGGTATGTAACGACACCTTGTGACAAATAAAAGCCGATAAGCGATGAAAAATTTGTTGCAAAAATCAATGCGTGTGCTGCATAAATGGTTATTAAGAAAGCACGTTTTGTACCTATCATTTCCCTGAAAATTGTAAAACAATGCCATAAGACCACTTTCATTCTTTTATTACTTCCATTTTCTATTTTTAAATAAACAACTTCGTTCGTAGCACTTAATAGTTTGCTTTTATCATAAAAGCAAATTAATATTCCTCTTCATTTTCCAGAGAGGAGCTTAGAACTCGAGCCGCGAAGCTCAACTTCAAGGAACAGCCAATCAAGTTTATTGGTTGCAAGGCTGCAGCTTCGCACTTGACCTTTTCCTTACTTCCCGACAAGCTTTACATAAATAAAATAAAAAAAGAGCCTTTGAAGAAATTGAATTTTTATTACTCGCTA